AATATTGTGTATCTCGAGTGTGGCTAATGTAGTTAATTTATTAGTTTTTAACGAAAAACTTTCTTATATAGATAAGCTTTATTTATAGACAGAATCGATGGCAGAAGCGCGGGATAAGCATGACAGGGGTGAAATTCGGGATTGCATTTATCGCCAAATTTATGAATCAGGTATATTACATACGACACGAGCGGAAAATACCACGTATAACAATTTTTGTTCTCTATCTCTCTTTTTCTCTCTTTCTCTCTCTCTCTCTCTCTCACTTTCTCTCTTTCTATATATATATATTTATTATTTGTATACGATTATTTAAGCGACAGATTCAGATACGGATCTTTTAACTACTTGTGTGTAATATATATATATTTATTATTTATACACGATTATTTAAGCGACAGATTCAGATACGGATCTTTTAACTACTTGTGTGTAATGTGTATGTGCTTTTTAATTTCAAAGTACAATGACGAAAGACTATTTCACTGATGGGTGCAGACATCTTGTTCACATGCATGCCGCCTGATGTTTACGCTACCGCGACATCTACTGGTTTTTGTTGCACGACGTCCATTGCTTCTCTTTGTTCGTAATTCTCTTGAAGGTAAATCTAAGTAATCTTTGGTCTAATAATTAACATTATGTTTAGTTACATCATTTTCAAAATCATTTATGTAAACTAAACAACATTTATATGACATTTTTGTAGTGATGTACATGTGTGAGCGGTGTAGCTGTCAACCTATGTGTACACCGGCTCTTCGCTTGTGTTGTGAACAAACAATAGACGCATAAGCGCATTCTTTCGTTTGTGATTCAGATACGCATATTCTGCTCTAATCCCCAGCGAAACATTTAATATCAGGTGCTAAATATCGTGTATATTAGTAAGTGCTGGGTTTATTCCGAACTTGACGAAAAATGATGAAATTTTAATTGAAAACTTCCAGTTTCGTAATTGTGATTTGTGTATGCGTGATCTGTTTGGAAGTTGTTGTGCTGCATTTTCATTTACCGATTGCAAATCAGTCGCCGCTGCGGATGTTCATAGTTGCTGTCAAAAGTGCGCTATATTGTTGGTCGAAATGTGAGTTATTGTCCCCAATTGGCAATTACAGAATATAATAAACAGCCATGGCAACGGAGGAGATTGAAAATGAACTTTTGGACTATGAGGAAGAGGAGCAGGAACAGCCGCAGGAGGTCACAAAAGAAGCAGTCCCGGTGAAGAAAGATGTCAAGGGCTCCTACGTATCCATACATTCTTCTGGATTTCGTGACTTTCTTCTGAAACCTGAGCTGCTCAGAGCCATTGTTGACTGCGGATTTGAACATCCCAGTGAAGGTAACTGAACAAATGTGTGCAACTGAGTGTACAAAGGTTTAATAGCCTAGTGTACCAGGGATATAGCCAGGAAATTATTTCAGCCCTAAATGATAACATAATATATAGACTTCTATGGGCGCCGTAGGCGTCCGGCGAGCGACGGAGGCTCGAGACGCGGCGTGCTAGGGGGGTCTGGGGGCATGGCCCCCCAGGAAAATTGTGATTTTTAGGTGCTCTGTGCTGCATTCTAAGGGGTTCAGTGCACCAGATAGCTTGCGTATTTGCGTAAATACGCATGAATTTCATACAAATACGCATGTAATTTTCAAAGGTATGCGTATAGATACGCTTGTGTTTTAATAAATACGTACATGAGAAAACAAACAGATCGTGTCAGTACGCTAACCTTCCATCTACTCCCGTATCGGCTCGACTCTCTCGCTAATAGACTGGTAGCTTGGTCGCGGTGCCCCACTCATTAAGTTCGCTATGGCTGCTGTGTGTCAGTACGTGAACCAGTCTATCTACTATCTATCGTGACTGGTTCCTGTGTGTAGTTTATTTTACAAAGCTCTTGACATTAGAATTGGTGTTTGCGACTGGAACGCAGTCTATACTCCCGGCGCTTCCCGGATTAATTCCAAATAAGGAAAGTCGAACGTGGTGTGATCTAAGCTTTGTTGACAATGAGGTTGTAAAGGCAAGATATGTTAATTTGGTCAGATACTC